TTGTTCGTCACTCTCTTACTGGATTCGTTGATATTTCGAAGAAAACGAAGTTTAGAGCAACCGCCGTGTGATTATTTCGCGCTTGCAATGTTTACTCTCTTAATTGCGTAATCGCGATAATTGCTGCAGACGACGAAATAACGAGGAGAGATCACGATCTGATCAATTATTCCTGCGCACCACATTCGATTTCAACCACACTTTCATACTTCTCCAAACCATTTTCCGTTTAAAAACAGCATCAACTATCTGACGCGCGTTGGACACTCTACGCGTCTTGAACTTTCAGCTTAATTGTTTTTCATCCGTGATTTAGATCTCAATCTCAACGTGTTATCGACGGCGTCGATTTCCTATCGCTAAAATGGTATCTAAATACACATGCCAATTTTTTATAAATAAGCCGATATTAAATGTAGAAAATAACATTTTTTTGCTCGAAATTAACAAAAGAGAAGAATTTTATTTAAATTCTACATAAAAGTTAAGCTTAATGATAAATAAAAGATATTTCACAATGTAATCACAGAAACAGAAATTTAGTCAGCATAAAATTACAAATTTAATATTCAGAGAATTCAATAATTTTGTTTTTACACGTATATTCAGTTCCGCTTCTTTTCTTACTTTTTTTCTTTTTTCTTCTTTTCCAATCGTTCTAAAGCAGATTTGGCTAACAGGCGACTCTTGTCCCGCTAACATATCTATTCGCTAGCACTATCCCTTCCACTACATCAGACCCCCACCACATTGAAATTTCCGGCGGGCATGAGCCCCACTCTCTCGCTCATTATACGACGGGCAATCATTTGGTCAACTGAAAGAATTTTAAGCTACGCAAATAATTGTGTATAACTTGTGAAAAACTGATTATTAGAATTGTGAAGTACTGATAAATTGTATTGTGACAAATTTATCAGTATAAATTTCGAATCACTGATTATTAAATAAATTGTGAAAAACTGATTATTAAAGAAAATGATATTTATTTGATAACTTTATTAGACTTTAAAATTTCATTCGAAATAAATATCAACGAAATCAAAATAAACCGCATTTATATGAAAAAAGAATCAATGAAAATAAAAATAATTTCTGAGTACACATTTTTCGCGGCAGAAATTTGTCTAGGACTTAAACATTTGTTGCGGCAGTGGACAAAATTTGAGAGCCATCTGTTAAAATTGCAAATGAGAGTAGTCACCCTACTGAAGAGAAAGACGAAAGGGGAAAATTATATCTTACAAATATTCGTTTTATTAATATATGATCACAGAGAATATCTAAATTTCATCTCTCGTA